GTGTGTGTGTCTCTGTGTGTGTGTGTGTGTGTTTCTGCAGGAGTCTGTCTCTGGCGTCTTCAGCCGCTGTGTTTAATAACCGCGCTCAGGCTCACATCAGACTGCAGTGCTGGAGCGCGGCTCTGAACGACTGCGACGCGGCTCTACAGCTGGAGCCTGGAAATGTCAAAGGTGAGGAGCGACACTCCACTGATCCACTGATATTCCAGAAAGCAGGTTATGTGACATACCCGGGTATGTTTAAGGGTAAGCAAGCGGATAAACTCAGCTTTCAGTTCCAAAACAGAGGTAACTTTCAGTGTAAGTAGATCCCAAATAAGAGGGATGATGAAAACTGCGTTATTTTTTATTTAGTACTGTCCTGAATAAGTTATTTCACATAACAGATGTTTACATGTATAAATATATAGCTATAGAGACTGTACCAGTTAGGTGGCGATATGAACCAAGTATGCAAACGGCTTTTGAACAGAGGAAGAAAGAAGTAGTATGAGCTTTTTCTTTAAAAATTCGTCGCTCCGTTGAGAATGTCTTGCGTGTTAACCAGGAACATACTCTGAGTTGAGTGAACTTACTCACACACACACCAGCATACCTCGAGTAAGCAAGGTTTGGGTTAATCCACCGAAAGTTTAGCAGATGGTAGGTTAACCTTGCTTTCTGGAATACACCCCAGAGATTAGATTAATACATTATGATTGAGATTCACAACAAAATTAAAAAAATCAAACAATAAAATGTATAACTTGCATGTAGAAAATGCACAGGTTAGCTTTACATTCCATACATACTGTAACCGCTGTACACTTACATTGTGTGTGTGTGTCTCTGTGTGTGTGTTTCTCTCTGTGTGTGTGTCTCTGTGTGTGTGTGTCTGTCTGTGTGTGTTTCTCTCTGTGTGTGTGTGTCTGTCTGTGTGTGCGTCTGTGTGTGTGTCTCTGTGTCTCTGTGTGTGTGTGTCTGTCTGTGTGTGCGTCTGTGTGTGTGTCTCTGTGTCTCTGTGTGTGTGTGTCTGTCTGTGTGTGCGTCTGTGTGTGTGTCTCTGTGTCTCTGTGTGTGTGTGTCTGTCTGTGTGTGCGTCTGTGTGTGTGTCTCTGTGTCTCTGTGTGTGTGTGTCTGTCTGTGTGTGTGTGCCTGTGTCTCTGTGTGTGTGTGTGTGTGTCTGTGTCTGTGAGTGTGTCTCTGTGTCTGTGTCTCTGTGTGTGTGTGTGTGTGTCTGTGTCTGTCGGTGTCTGTGTGTGTGTGTCTGTCTGTGTGTGCGTCTGTGTGTGTGTGCCTGTGTCTCTGTGTGTGTGTGTGTGTGTCTGTCTGTGTGTGCGTCTGTGTGTGTGTGCGTCTGTGTCTGTGAGTGCGTCTCTGTGTGTCTGTGTCTGTGTCTCTGTGTGTGTGTGTGTCTGTGTCTGTCGGTGTCGGTGTCTGTCTGTGTGTGCGTCTGTGTGTGTGTGCCTGTGTCTCTGTGTGTGTGTGTCTGTGTCTGTGTCTGTGTCTGTGAGTGTGTCTCTGTGTCTGTGTCTCTGTGTGTGTGTGTGTGTGTCTGTGTCTCTGTGTGTGTCTGTGTCTGTGAGTGTGTATGTCTGTCGGTGTCGGTGTCTGTGTGTGTGCCTGTGTCTCTGTGTGTGTGTGTCTGTGTCTCTGTGTGTGTGTGTG